AGGCTGGTATTGATCCGGAATTTCGTCCGCTGACCATGTGTGTGTTGTACGCTGGCTAGCACTATCCCTGCTCTACAGGAAAGAGACGAAAAATTATTTGGAGCCCGATGGCAAAGTAAATGAAAAAGACTTTTTATTGTTCCCCCATTTGAGTGATCTTTCAGATGTATCTTCCGTGTCGTGATTGTAAGAAATTGTTTTTGCAGAGCGGTATCATGGTTCACTGATAGGACGGAAATAGCAGCCCCCATCGATGGAAAAGAACCTAAAATCTGCGGTTTGGATGAAGCTTTCGGCCGGATTAAATCAGGTTTGCGATCGTCATTCCACTGCTGACTTTTGCAAAATCCATGTTTTTGTAGCGTACGCGCGTTCGTAGCGCCAACTCTGAACGCTGAGGGTTGGTAATGAAAACGTTCTCAAGTGGATGATGTGGAAATATTTTTGATGTATAAAAAATAAAGCCTTCTAGTCTTTTAGGTGACAGCATTTACATTCACGGGTTAGCGGCTACTCCAACCCCGCTACTGAAGGGTCTTTGTGAGCATGTAAAGGCTAATGATCTGAAGGATATTAGGCTGCATCATCTCATTATCGCTGGAGGAGCACCATGGACAACACCTGAGTTCAAAGGTGACGTAAACAGCTATGTGTCGTTAACCAGAACTTCAATCCATGAACCTTTCCAGAACGGATGCGCTCTAACTCCCTGTTTCTTGGGGACAGCCTTCGGGATGCTGTTAACGAGGGTAAGTATAGCCTTCTTTCCTTACGGGCTGTGCTAACATGGTTCTTGAGGGATACGAATCCTCTCGGCCAGAATTTTTTTCGGTTCCAAGAAGTTGGTCTCAAAAATGTTGTAATCTATGTAGACGGACCGGGAAGGTGGAAGACCCTGTCAAACTGAAGTAAAAATTTAAGGGCGAAGATCAGAGCATCCATGAGTGTAGGAGATTTGGGATATTTTCTTACTGTACGTTCCGATAATCCACTTCATTTTAGGTGCTGCCGACTTCAACTCATGCTTTTTGCATGAAATCCCGATGTTTTTCCGTAGGGGAGCCATCAAACTCAATGCCGCCTTGGTCCATGTAAGTATGTTCTTTTCAGAGAAAAAAGCCATAAAAGAAAGCACGGATCCTGTATAGGTCGGTTTTCCAGGTGTCTCCACCTGACAAGAAAGGTTTCTGCTCATTGGGAGCTTCTGTGGACATTACAAGAGCAGGTGTTGCGAATGCTGACTATGTCATCGGTTAGCTAGTAATTCAGTATTTAGTTGTTCTAAATTCCTCCATTCAGGGTAGATTGTTTGACTTGGGAACAGAACGATCAATCCACAAAGGAAGCCTGAAAAGATGTCAGATTAGTCAAACATGAAATATCGGTTTTTCTAGCCTTCAGGCCTACTACAGCAGAGTCTATGGCCCTCAGGTGACCTAACAGCTGAAGGGGTCATTCTACCCAGCCGTAGATGAGCAGGGAAGAGTTCCTAAGTAGATAACACAAATTCATGGAGACCATCTACTAGGTCCCACTTTACTACCCAACACTCCGTGAGAACTCCTTTACGAACTGGCCTTTCCTTTCCAGGTATGATGAACAAGAATATGCCGAGGACGTTTGGTGACAGCGTGATTCATTCATCCCACATCGATGTGCTCGTCGAAGATAATTCGTTCCAACTTCACGAACTCCATCCTGAAGAAATCCACGAAGAAGAACATAAAATTGGTAAACTTATCGCCGAAAACTTGGTGACGGACGGTTCAACTCTTCAAATGGGTAAGCTCTGTCTGTAAAAGACAAGTTCTGGCAAACTTTTCAACTGCCATAAAACATGAGCGTCTCGCTAGCTCATTGGCCTGAATAGAATAACCAAACTTGCTACTTATGTTCTCATTCATACTTTTAAGTATTCAGTCCCTTTTCGATAACCCATAATTTCGTGCGATAGCGTAAGAAATCATCCTCTCTTCGGTAGCCCAAGTTTTCAAGCCTGAAAAGATAACTTACCTCATTCTCTTTTCCCTTTCATTGAGTTTTTTCTCTTTTGTACAAGCGCAAATAGGATATCGTGCTTACTGCCCCTTTGTTAGGTTCTGATGTCCTTAGATTACCTGCTTTCAACATCACTTCATGCATGACATTCAGTGGGAAGATACTGCCATGTAAATGTGCTCCACAAGCAAAAAAGCCGTGTCCCTTCAGACGAGTGCTACAGAGAAAGGCTTCAAAGAGCATCTTTCGCCGCCTGTGTGCGGCTGCGTGACGGTTTTGGTTATGTGCCTTTCTATTCTCTAGCATTGGAGCGCACCATGGTTTGCGCGCCATTTTCGAGAATTCACTATGTGACCCCTTAAATAACCACCTGCCCTCTGTCCTAACCCAAGGCCTCTTTTCCATCCTTCGTATATGTGGCGGGTGAAAATTTGTGCATTCAAATAAATTATGCTCTGAAAGGAACTTTATTGTCTACAGAAATACTGCAGAATGAGCAGGATGCCCTCTGATGCCCCCGCTCTGTACAGTCACTCTATCAGTCGGCAGTCGAATTTTGTAGCCCACTTTGCACCCAAATTCCCACGGGGGCGCACCCGGCAGTGGCTTCGTGGCAATTACCGTAGTCATGTTGTGTGAAATCAGAACCTTACGCGCGCACTCCGAAACGCGACAGGTGAGGCGAGAGCGGTACGCTGTTTGGTACAAGATCCTATTCCCTGAGCTGATTGCTCTCGCGAATCGTCTCTTCGCATTCTGCCGAGGATGTCTTACGACAGCGTCTTCATGGTATTTGATGGAACTCTCTGTGTACAGTTGAAATCTCATCAAAGTATTTATGCGTACATAGACCCATGTTTTCTTATTACGACAATAATATTTGGAGAAAAATCTACGTTTCAGGTATCGGAGCTGTACCAGATGCCGCCTTAGCTGCCTTAAAAAACCACAAAGACCTTGGCATTCACACAGAGATGGTCTCCGATCGTATTTTGGATCTTCTAGAATGCAGTGCTATCAGCAACAAGAAAAAGGTGGCATAGCTGGAAATAGCTATGTAGAGCTCTTTCTTTCAACTATTGTCCGTTAAGGCCAAAAGGTAGAGCACTCAGAGAAAATCAGGTTTTAATATTATCGTAGTGTCGAAGCAATGCAGTTGGAAGCGTAGATTCGGGTTCCCGGAGCATTTTTGTTCAAGGCTTCCGTAATATTCATAACTCTGTGGGGTTTTTGTTGATGATCTGTAACGTAACCTGCTCTCCTTGACGAGCTTGTGTACTTTTACTGAGGCTACTACCTCCATATTGAGCGAGGAGCTAATGGGTCGTCCATGTATGGATATTTGTAGTCGATTGGGAAAGGGGGGAGGTGCAGGGGAGAGAGTGGAGAAGGAGTTGTGTAGAGGCATCGCAACTGACTTGCTTTAGGATAGTCTCGAAGGGGAAAAATATTAACAAACGTTAAGAGATATTTAATTCTGAAGCTTCTAAATCTTTATCATCGAATAAAGCTCAACATAGGTACTCCCAACTGATAGCATGATCAGATCCAAATTCAACTACATATAGATATGTCAAATAAAAGAAGGATTCAGACGGTCCGTCCCGGCAAGCTTGTAGTCTCGATCGCCTACGGTAGCAGAAAGCTCTACGATTATCTGAACAATAACCCGGCAGTCGAATTCGGCGATGTCCAATGGGTCAATGATCCCGCCATCATCAGACAAAACCCCAAGGTCGTGGCAATAAATTCGGCCGTCGAAATTGATCTCACTGGACAAGGTGAGTGCTTATCGACAGTGTACTTCGAAATCGCCCGTGCTGAGAAAGAACTCTGTGCGTGTAATTTTTACGGGAACCTGGCATCAAAGACGAATGTAAAGGTTTTCAGTGGCCGCTGATTCGGTTGGTAAGCGATTCTGGTCCGGATTCGGTGGTCAAGTGGACTTCATTCGCGGAGCCAGCATAGGCAACGACGGTGAAGGCAAACCAATCATCGCTCTTCAATCGATGTCGAGGAAAGGCAAAAGCAAGATTGTACCCTACCTAGGCGAAGTTCGTCCTGTTCACTTGCTATCTTGCTCTTGGAATGCTAACTGCTTAGGATTACTTCAGGGAGCTGGAGTCGTCACAACTCGATCCCATATACATTACGTCGTTACGGAAAACGGTATTGCTCAATTGTGGGGAAAGAATATGCGGCAAAGAGCGTATGAGCTCATCGAGATTGCTCATCCTTCTCAACGAGAAATGCTGGAAAAGGCAGCTTTTGAAAGATTGAAGGTAAGGTAGCATTGGCCTTCATTGGACTCATTCGGTTCAGATTTTCCAAGTTCTGGGTTAAGATTCTAGATTCGCTTCACAGTTAATATAATAGGAAAGGAGTTGTGGAGCACGCTTTATTTCATACTGCCCGCCTCACGCGAAAGCCTTACTGTATCATTTAGTCCGCGTCACGATTTTCATCCTCTAGCATCCGTTTTCAGTTGTAGAAGTAATGTTCCGAAATTTTTTTCATCTCCACTCCAAATTGCTCATCTTGTGAGCTGCCTTCACCTTCAGTGTTAACTTCGCGATGAGATGGTGCTCTGCGAAATTTCTGCTGGGAAGAAAATTCTTGGAATTGCACATATATGATGGAGTCGCGACAGAGTCGACCCGGAAAAAATTCAATAGATTCTCGACCTTCTCTCGAAACAACTCCGCTGTTATTGTACACAGTACGAAAGACGAGCCGAGCAGCATAAAATGGACTGTATAGCTTATATGCAGCGTAGAGTAAAGCAGTCTATGTTGGCGTAACTGCCGGCTTGAAAGGTTTCGAGTCAAGTTGCGTCACTTCGATCATCTCGTCGTTGTCATAGAGCGCACGATAGCTCGGCCTGTCGTATCAAACCCTTCATTCTGTGAAAACCAGGATTTACACCACATTTACACCATTTCGTTGAAAAGACATTGCCCTCGCATCGAATTGTTTCATCCCATCCATACCACAGGTAGTTTGATATATGGCAGGATAAAGTTCCCTCAGAACAACTGCACCTTACGCCAGCTGACCACAAAAAATGGCGAAGCATTTTATCGAGAACCAATACGACACGACGTGCTTCTTCTTTTCTTTTTTCAGGTTATGCCATCACCGGATTGAGCAAAGACATTATTTATCTACTTTTCTTCAAAACTTAGTCCGGGTTCTTTACTTGTTCCGTTTCATTTCCTCGTCCTCATTTTTGTATAAGACTCTAGTATTTTTATTTCTGCTTCACCACGGTTTACTTATTCTTCATTCATCCTGGCATCTAATTTCATTATACCACGCTGTAGATTCGTCCTTTCTCCCCCCGAAGTATGATGTTGTAGATGCATTTGCTCAAAAGCGTATCGTTCTTCATAGCTATGTTATGATAACGAAATGAACATTTAGAATTTGACGAGTTTATCACAAAAGGGAGAGGCTTTTGAGATCAAGGTCACAACTAACATTATTGTAGACGTATTTCGAAAACATAGCTGATAGGAGGTTTCCAATGTTGCGACCAGTAGCGGCTTACTCTGTCTCAAAACCCTCTGGCAACATTCTGCCCCAGACTGAGGATCTCGTTGTGAGCAGCCAGACGGTCAAGTATTACTATACACTGTGCCACTGTATCCGTACCCGTCATCGGATGAGATGGGATTCATGTTGAACTCCAGCTTTCGAGGATATCAAGGGATCAGTGTTGTCGGTTTATTTAGCAGTAGGAATAGGAATATCTAACAGTTGGAATTTCTAAATTGATACATAATGCGTTGGAAAGCAATAACGAACACACGTTTCACACAATGTAGGAAAACATTGAACAACCAAAACCCTTACACTTGAGCAGTGATGCTACGGAGTTTTTTTTTTGAACCACACCTTATGTTATGATACTGAAATAAATGCTGGTGGCAGTTTTGCTTAAATGGAACAAAAAAGTATTGTGCTTCTAATTAATTGGTAGAAGAGGAAAATGCCAAAGTCTTCATGAATACTAAAAAAGGTACATAATTGGGCTTCTGAAGCTTGGGAACTCGACGCCAAAACAATCCCTCTTTGCGTTACATACAAGCATTCCATTTCCACTTACAAAATGGGCTTCAATGAATTTGGTGACATAGTGATCATGAAAAGCAAAACGGAAAAAGCAATAAAACAAAATTAGAATTCGATCGATAATGTGTTGATGTGTTGGACGAGACAGCCTTGAATGAGGCATGCCAATAAAATTTCGTCTTAACCAGGCATTCACGTCAGGACCCACTGACTGTAACCGTACCACAAGATCGCGAATCTGACTAATCCCTCAATCCATTTTGTAGTGACATCCGAAGGACTATTCGACCCGATCTACGTGAAAAGTTCAAAACTTTGACCTCGGACTGGACTCGGACTCGTACTTCCGCTTTCCGGGCGCCGTGCTCTTTATCTTTGCGCTATTCACTTACTTACTCAGAAAAAGGTTGACCATAACTGAGAAAAAAATCCCATTGCCGAACCTCCATTCAACGGAAGATGGGGAGCAGCGCCTACATGCCATAGATTGCAGCCGGAAAGCCATCCGGGTGAGTAAGTATTGTACTGGGAAGCTTAGGAAAGTCAACTCAGAGAAAAACCCAAAAAGAGCAATCAACGAACATTTTGAAAACTGGGATTCGTTGACGCAAACTTGTGATAGAATGTTCGTAACGCTCCCGCATAGCAACATATGGATGACCGATTGCGAAACAACACTATCGAAAGCCTTTCCGAAAATAGTTCTGATGTTAATGGAATCAGCAAGGAATTGATCTTCTGACAAAATGGTTGTGACCACTCAACGACTTTACCCTTCTACTGAGTGGCCGAAAGTCGCGACGTTCAACAAGGTAAAATACAATACGTTAAGAACAACGTTAAATGGCTTTCTTCAGAGGGTTGTTCAACACTTTTCAGACAAACATTGCTTCACAACGAGTACGGATGTAATAATCTTGGTCCAGAAGCGCAGTTTCCTTGTAAAATTTTTTTGGATTTTGTCGATGCTATTGCTTGTTTATTCCTAAGACTTCCAGATCGTTCAATTCGGTGACGATATATTTTTTGAAAGCCTCTTCAAAAACCGAAAATACCCCTCCTTCAGAAGTTTTCTCTGATTCTTCATAACTCCTAGCTACATGCGTAGTTTCAGGTTGTCAGTTCGTCTGTTTTACACTTTGAACTCACTTTTTTCGGATGATGAATAAGTTCGACCCTTTACGCTGGCGCCTCGAATCTCGCCCTGTCTCGAATCTCGGATGGCTATTAATCGCACCAATTTCTTTCTTCTGACTTCACTCCCCGGAGATAATCTGAGAATGTAACTTGTTATTGTTGTTCTCCTACGAAAAACTATTCACGGCGTGCGGTCTCTTACTTCTCTTTTGCTTTACGCATAACTGTTTTTGCGATAATTATATCCTCTGCTTGAGCGGTGGAACCTTGACTTCTGAAGACGGCAGGAGCCAAGGTGTTAGGCTTTCTGATCTAATGAACTGTTTCACCTAAGGACCTTTTAAGGGTACAAAAACATGCCTGTCGTTAACATTTATCTACGTCATTGTAGGAGCCCTTATTACTGTGGTGAAAAACGAGCTCTAATTCTCATATTATGATTTGGAATTAGGAGAATGACTCCATGAGCGTACACTCTGTAGTAGAACAGTGTTAAAATGGCTAGAGATACTAAGTTAGTTCCCTTTCAATGAAACCGGTCCGTCCCTGTGGGCAGCGCTAATTGTTACATACATACAATTGTTAGTCATGGAGCCTACGCGCAGATTTTGTAGGGTGCACTTCTGAGCCGATCCTCAGGGAAGTCCGTATAGCTGTCCGCAGTTCAGCAAGAAGATGTTATCACGGTTCTCCTGCCGCAGTATTTCTACCGCCTTTTTGGCAACACGCAGGTACGTCATGTGATATTACCTTGATTCTAATCCTTTATCTGACTGAATCGTTCTTATAATGAGGTAAGGTATGAGTAGAGACATACCATTGTAATCACCTCGTCAAAATCGAGAAGTTGAGTGCGTTTCAACACACCTAGTCGTATACAGGTTGAGAGGCAGTGGTCCTGATGTGGCTGGTCTCGAGCCAAAATTTTCACGGGCTCAGCTACAAAACGAGCACGCGTGGCTTTCAGTAGGATAGTAACAACGTTGCTTGTCGCTGACCCATAACAAATTCAATTACACTTTATCAAAAGCAACCAAATGAATGGTTGGTGAATGGTAAGCCTTTTACATTCACGTCAAAGGCAAACAACGCGAAAATTCGAGGGTTCGCGAAATGACAAAGATATTTGGTGCCTAAAGCGGGCTCATTAGCAGAGCAATAAAACCTCTAACTCATAATCGTGCTTGAATCTTCTGCTTTCAAATGGTCGTGTTATCGTCATAGTGGACCATCGAAAATGAACCCAGTGATAGCTTAAAGCCGCACGATCGTTTTATATTTTCGAGTCTTCCATTTCTTCTCTAGAAACTATTATATTGTGGCGCTTATAGTTATTGTCTACGGCGGAGGTGGTGTAGTGGCAAGTGGCGCGCTATATCACACGCACGGTCAGGGGCATCGAATCCCGGATCGATGCCCGCCTTCCATCCCTCCGGGGTCGATGAATTGGTATCAGACTCGTCTGGGAGGATGAAAGCACTGACTTGTATACATCAAGTCATTGCATAGGCCACATACGCACTCATCACGCCACTACGATTCTGAATGGAAGTCGAGTGCGGGGGCGCATCTCTCAGACGGGGTCGATTAACGCCAAAAACTTTGTCCTTTATCCTTTTATAGTCATTGTTTAAGCCAGCTGTAGTCATTTATTTATACCTTTTTCTTTTCCAGTATTTCTGGAGGTGGTATGAGGGTCGGAATTGAACTATTAAGGGAGGAATGCTAATTTGTATTTTGGAGCTTTGACATTCTAGGATTTTTTTGTCGATATCTATAGTTTGAAAAAGGTGAATCTAACTGATGAGCGCACTATCACAGGTGCGGCGGGCGTGGATCGAAACCCGGACCAACACTACCGTGGACTGACCATGACTTTTTACCTCTAGAATTAACAGATTGGTAAAATACGTGTTCGGTAATACGGAAACTTCTCAACTGTACAAGAGAGCCCACGATTCTGGATAGACGCCAAC